TTTTCTTTCAAACCGAGGTGAATGTTTCTCTTATATATATATATATATATATATATATATATATATATATATATATATATATATATATATATATATATATATATATATATATATATATATATATATATATATATATATATATATATATATATATATATATATATATATATATATATATATATATATATATATATATATATATATATATATATATATATATATATATATATATATATATATATATATATATATATATATATATATATATATATAGTTTGTAGCATTTAGTTTCACTTGTCTAAATAACACAAACAGAACCCTAACAAAGAGTCCTTAGTAAAAGATCCCTAAACAACGAAAGCCATAAACATATATCATCTTCAATACAAAGATGTTATGTGCTTAGGACTCTCGTTTCTTCTTCAGAGATCTGAATCATTTTCTTTTACTTCTTCTTCAGAGATCTGGTACGTCAAACATCACTACTTATGTTGTTATTATTGTTGTTGTTATTGTTATTGGTACTGTTGTTGTGTTGTTGAGATCCGAAACCCTAGAGGTTTTCTCTTGTTATTTTTGTTGTTTAAACAAATTTATGTTATAGTTTTATTGATGTTGTTGTTATTGTTGTTGTTCTTGTTGTTGAGTCTTGTTGTTGAGAACCTAAATATTAGATGCTTATTCTTGTTATTGCTGTTGCTAATTAAAAAAAAATTATATTATAGGTTTGTTGATGTTGTTTTTGTTGATGTTGTTGAGACACTAAAACCTTGAGGTTGTTTATTGATGTTGTTGTTCTTGAGGTTATATATTGTTTTTTGTGTGTTGTTATTTAATGTAAGTTATTATTTTTAGTTGAGTTTAGTAAATTTATATGTTATAGCTTAGTTGTTGTTATTGTGTTTGATATTGATATTGATATTGAGATTACATTTATTTTATTCTTTGTGCAACTCTCATCTTGTTCCGTCAAGTTGAGTTTATTATATCTAATGTCATTTTTTTGTTTCACTAACCCTTCTTTGAATATATAACCTATTAAACTGATTTTGAAAATAATCATATGAAAAATTATGTTGTATTAGAAACATATCTTACATGGATTAATGTTTTCTAGCATTCTGCAACTCATTATTTATCTCATGCTCTTTTATGGTTAAAATATCTCCAATACTGCTAGTTTTTGTTCAAATTTCTTCCATATTTGTTCATTTTTTAAAGTATTAAATTTTATGCTTTCAAGAATGAATTAGTAGAAAAGTAAGTGTTGAATAAAGAACTTGAGACATTGAAGAGATTTTAACCTTGAAAGAATGTGAGATGAGCGATGAGTTACAAGGTGCTTCAAAATCATTAATCAATGTAAGTTGTTCTTCGAATATAACAAAATTTTTCATATAATTATTTTCCTAATCAATTTTGAAAAGTTATATGTTAAATATAGGGTTTAATGAAATAAGCAATCCACATTAGATTTAATAAACTCAAAATTGTTTTATCCGTCGGTTTTATGAGAAAACAGAGGTGAAAAGTGGTATACCTGTCGGTGAAATGTCAAAACCGAGGGGCATGTGTTTTCTCCATTTTAGAATTTCAGAAAGGTCTCCATGAGGATCGAACCCAAGACCTTTACATAATACCCGATTGTTTTTTTAAACCGAGAGATAAATTGTGTACTTTTCATGAAGCCCTTCGTTAGCTCGCATGTGACACCGAGGTAAGACCTCTTTTTCAAATGAGATAAAATGTATTTTTTTATTGTAGTGAGTTATGACAAGCCTTAAGTTTTGGAACCTGCAAATCTCAACATATTTAGAATCAAGCTGAGAATTAAAGGAAGAAACACAACCATGAGCAGCTAAAGTGACGCCAGACCAAACTAACTACGAAAAGATCAAGATTCAAATATTGTTAAAAGGAAACAATTAGTGTGAGGACGACAACAACTCGACACCGACAAACACCAAACCCCTTCTTTAAGGTTTAAACCCCACTTGTGAAAAATGATTGATTAAACGACAGTGTTGTCGATCGTGAAGACTTGTTACGATACCATTACCAAAGCTACATTAAAAGATAAGGAGACTATGGATAATGGTTTAAGGCTAGAGAGAGGGTACTAAGATATATAGAGAGGTCGATCTTTAATTTCGATTCAATGTCTCCTACTGATGTGTTAAAAATCCAATTAAAATCCTTATTTTTTTTAATAATGTTTAAAATATAAAATAATATAATATTTAGATTAATTTTTATTACTAAAAATGCAGATAAATTACACGAATAATGTTATTCAAATACCCCATACAATAGAATCATTGTCCACGTGAGTATATTTTTTCTTAAACTGGAGAGATATATAATATAATTAAGCATCACACTTTTTTGTGGGACAAGCCAAAGTTATAGATTCGTACCTTATAATAAATCTGTCTCATCTATTTTTTTCCGAGCTTTTACGGGTGCCGATATTAACATAAATTTTTACACTTTTAAACTTTAAAAGTGCAATGTTTGCTAGTATGCTTAACCTTAACTTTTTTCGGGATGAACCAAAATTTTAGATTCGCTTCTACAATTATGTCCACCCCACTTTACTTTTATTACTGACTTTTGCATAACAAATTTAAATAGGATGAAAATACCCGATTCTCATCCCTAAATATTATATCTTATCCAAATCTTATTTATTGTGATTCCAAATATTTCAATAATAATTTTTTTTAAACAATAATTCATTAGTAACATTAAAATATATTACATGATAGATATGTCTATTTAAAAATATTTGAATAATAATGTTTTTTAAAGGTATAATTAGTCCCTAGGTCCCTTAAATTTGAGCGAAGTTTCACTTTGGTCCCCGAACTAAAAAATGATACATAATGATCCCTTAACTTTACTTCCGTTAAACCATTTGGTCCTTACCGTTAGTTTGTGTGAAAAAATGTTAATTATGACTGAGATGACATGCCAAGTAAGCAAATGGTATGTTCAACATTCAGCTTCTGTGTTAAAAACACTCTAGGGTTCATGAGTTCCATCTTCCATTTACACTGTTCATCCATATTTTCTTCATCTTCCATTTTCTTCTCCAAAATACTAAAAGAAAATTGAAGATTGGAACTTACAACAACACCATTTCCTTGCCAATTTCTCTTCCATTTCCCGTGACACAATTAAAATGGGTGGTTGTATTTCTTCTTCAATTTTCATTTGGGTATCTTGTTTTGGATCTTCCATGAGAACACAAAGGGTAAAAATTTTCAATTTTTGAAATTTCGGGTTTGTTCTGCATCTTAGAAGGGAAAAGATAAGTGTTGGGTTTGGTTTTTGGAGGTGAGGAAATAAAGGTTTGTAGTGATGGTTTAAGGTTGAAAAAATTGATGAAAGTTTAGAGGTTGAAAAAATTGATGTTTGGTTTTGTAATTGTTGAGGTTTATTGAGAGAGAGGATGAAATTGGTGTTGGAGTGGTTGTTTTTCTTCCAATTTCTCTTAATTTTCCTTGCTAATTTCTCTTTCATTTTCTGTGACACAACTAAAATGGATGGTTTTTTTCTTCATTAATTTCCCTTTGGGTATCCTGTTTTGGATCTTTCATGAGAACACAAAGGGTAAAATTTTTCAATCTTTGAAATGTTGGATTTGTTCTGCATCTTAGAGGGAAAAAGGTTGAAAAAATTGATGAATGTTTAGAGGTTGATGTGAAAATTGAGAAGAAGAAGAAGAAATGGAAGACAGAGTTTCTTTCATGAGAAAGAGTATTGAACTTTTGCAGAGATGAATGATTTTTGTGCCACTAGTTTGGTCAAATGTGTAATATTTTAATCAATATAAAATAAATAAATATTTCAACTTAGCAACTAAATTAAATGTCCAACTAATCAAAGTTTAACGTTTTTTCAGCAAAAACTAACGGAAATGACTAAAATATATAACATAGTATAAGTTAATAGACCGTAACATTCTTTTTGTAAGGACCAAAAGAAACATTGACTAAAGTTAAAAGATCAAAAGAGGTATTAAACCCTTTTTAAACAATAATAATACATTAGTAATACAAAAATACATTATATTATTAAGTCAACCGATAAATTACAACATCATTAAATAATTAATAATTTTAAAAATTAAAATATTTTTCCTTTAAAAATACTGGCAAGTTGAACTATATAACCAAATTATTGTTATAATTGTTCATTCAAGCCGATATAAGGTGAATTTTTTTTTGAAATAACTCATTTTTTCAATAAAAATGCCAAAATAACCTAACTTTTAAATTATTTACGAAAGTAGCATGTTTTTCAGAAAACTAAACCATGAGACGCCATATGATATGACGACAACTTTGAAATTGAAAATGCATTAGACTGAGGCGTCATATCATATGGCGACACCATTAAAATTTAACCTAATATTTTTAGAGGAGGCGTTATATCATATGACGACACCATTAAAACTTAACCTAATATTTTCAGAGGAGGCGCCATATGATATAACGCCTCAGTTCATTCCCTTTTATTTTTTATTTTTTATTAAGCCATATTTTCACCATGCATTAATGGTGTCGCCATATGATATGACGTCTCAATTCAATGCATTTTCAATTTCAATGCTATCGCCAAATTATATAGTGCTTCAAGGTTTATTTTTTGAAAACATGCTACTTTCGTAAATAATTTAAAAGTTAGATTATTTTGATATTTTTATTTAAAAAAATGTGTTATTTAAAAAAAATCATATATGGTTTTTAACATTCACAAAAGAAAAATGAACATTTTAAATGTAAAATATGGAAAACAAAATCGCACAAAAAAAATTACATTCTCTTAATTTTTTAAATAAAAAATAATAATTAGCCAAAGATTAAAGAATTAAACCATACATAAATAAATAAATAAAACATGTAAATACAAAAGAAAAGATAGAAATTATCATCATTATCAAGAAAAAGAAACTATGTGGTGAAACCGAAGTCAAAACTCCAACGAGAACAAAAATGGCGCTTCAAACGCAATTCGCAACTTATTTCACCACCAAAATCCATCATCACTCGTTCTCTCCCATCCTCACAATTAGATCTGAAAAACAATCTGAACCGTCCGATTCAATTCCCAAAAGCTCCGGTGTGGGTTTTGGTCCGTCTAAAGTGAAGAGTAAAAGGAAGCAGAAGGGACAGAGAGAAAGAGCTTCGATAATCCGTCGTAATCCAGTTGAAAAACCCGCTTTGGTTTCGAAACAAGAACCGGTTCAACAGGAACAGGGTGCTTATGAAAAAGCTTTCGTTCTTGCCTGGCTTGGTTTTGGTTCTGTTATTCTTGTTGAGGGCCTTGCTCTTGCAGCTTCAGGTTTGTTTTTTTTCTCTATCTTAATTTGAAAGAACTAAGTGTATGCTCTATTCGGTTAAAATAGTATAGTCTATAAATTAGCTCATAGCTTCGGGCTGATGACACCGATAGTTTATAGTTGATGATTAATAGCTGATAGTTGATAGCATCTAATTGATAATGACCGATAACTTAGAGTTGATACTTTATAACTGATGTTGATGATAATGATGACTGGTAACTGATGATAGCTTCTGGTTGATGACCGATAGTTTATAGTTGATGATTAATAGCTGATAGTTGATAACGTCTAACTGATAATGACAGATATCTTATAGTTGATAGCTTATAACTGATGTTGATAATGATGATGATGACTGGTAACTGATAGTTGATAGTTATTGTGGCGGATAATTTTATGTGTTATTGCAGGTATCTTTCCGGAAGAGTGGGACAAGATCTTTGTCAAGTATGTTTATCCATCCTATACCCCTACAGTTTTCTTGTTTGTTGCTGGAGCAATAGCATTTGGAGTGGTTAAATATAAGCAGAATGAGAAACTTATGGAGCGGAAATAGCGTGTTTGGTGTAGTAATGTTTGAAACCTTTGATGCGACGAAGACAAAGGTACCAGGAATGATGTGTGAACTCCGGAAGACTCATTGTGAGCAATTTCTGTTAGATACTAAGCAACTTCTTCGAATGCCGTCATATGGCCAATTAACTGAGGTTTTTGAAATGGATTCAATCCTTTTTGTAATTAATTTGATCACTTCTTTTCTAGCTATGAAACTTCTTTTTATATATATATGTACTGAGCTCTCTTTTAATCCCTTTACCGTGTAAACTACATGTTTGTGTGATGATTTAATGGTTCCAAATCATATGCATATGAGAGATGGAGAGCATAAGATTAAAGATAACTTTGTAATTGATAATGTGGAGTTATAGAAGGAATGATTCTATTTGTAGAGTTAATTGTATTAACTAACTTCTTAACTATCTAACTGACTTACTAACCTAACTAATAAACAATGCCAACAATAACATTGTGCAATAGCGTCTGCCAAATTCACCATTGAAAGATTTCACCAATTTGAGTTCGACAGACAAGTTGAAAATATATTTTCTAGAACAAGAAACATGGAAACGGATTCTCTAATGTTCATGCGGGAACCTCTTAAAACAAAAACAGTATAGAAAAATATTGATAAAAACCGTTTCACTTTTGGCTCTACTGTCATTGTTGTTGGTGCAAAGATAGAATAAATGATGAAATAGGAAAATATTCTATTAAAGAGAATGACGGCTACAAAACATGATATGTGGTTACAATGATTGTTACCCTATTTATAAGCTAAAACTAGGGTTACTAGAATAAGATAAATACTAAAATACCCTCTAACAAACTTATGGGCTTAAGAAAATAATATAATAAAATATGAATTATTACTAATACCATCCCTTAATTCATATTTCATCAAAACTTGTAACACCAATCCCATCCCTTAATCTGAGAAATTGATCAGTCTTGATAGCTTTCGTCAGAACATCTGCCAACTGCTTCTGAGTGCTGCAGTGTACAACTTGTAACACTCCACTCTGAACTTGATGTCTCAGAAAATGATACTTGGTCTCAATATGCTTGCTTCTCCCATGCAGCACTGGGTTTCTGGCAAGGTTGATTGCAGACTTGTTGTCAATCATCAACTTCAGAGGTTTGCTTACTTTAATCTTCAGATCCTGCAACAGATTCAGAATCCACACAGCTTGGCATGCAGTAACAGCACCTGCAATGTATTCAGCTTCACAGGTTGACAACGCCACAACAGGTTGCTTCTTGGAACACCAAGAAATGGAACCTCCCAGAAATTTGAACAAGTACTCAGATGTACTTCTTCTGTCAACTCTGTCTCCACACCAATCAGAGTCTGAATAACTCAGAAGTTCTGACTCATTATTTCTTCCAGAGGGAAATAACACTCCATACTTCAGAGTTCCTTTGATATACCTCAGAATCCTGACAGCAGCTTGGTAATGGGACCACTTAGGTTTACTCATGAACCTACTAACCATCCCAACAGAGTAGCAAATATCAGGTCTGGTATTGCACAGATACCTCAGAGAACCAACCAACTGTTTGAAGGTTGTAGCGTCCACATCCTTTCCTTCAGAGTCTGAATCCAGTTTCTGATTTGTATCAGAAGGTGTGACAGCCATCTTACAATTCTTCAGATCAAATCTCTTCAGAAGTTCTAATTCATACTTGAGCTGATGCAAAATGATACCTTTCTCAGAATATCTGAACTCCATCCCTAGAAAGTATGTCATTTTGCCTAGATCAGTCATTTCAAATTCATTCATCAGAACTTTCTTGAACTTGGTTATCTCCTGTTCAGAACTTCCAGTCAGTAGTATATCATCAACATATAAACATACCAGAGTCATATTGCCTTCAGAAGTATGCTGAACATAGACACCGTACTCCATCTCACATTTCTGAAAGCCTTGCTTCTTGAAAAATGAATCAATCTTCTGATTCCAAGCTCTGGGCGTTTGTTTCAATCCATATAGAGCTTTGTATAATCTGTACACCATCCCTTCCTGATTCTTTTTCACAAATCCAGGAGGTTGTGACACGTAAACTTCTTCTTCTAATGGACCATTCAGAAATGCAGATTTTACATCTAAATGCATCAGAGGCCAATTCCTGTTAGCAGCTATTGCAATCACCATTCTGATTGTTTCATGTCTTGCTACAGGTGCAAACACTTCAGAATAATCCAGCCCAGGTTTCTGTAGAAATCCTCTGGCTACCAACCTTGCTTTATGTTTGCCAATTGAACCATCTGGCTTTAACTTCTGCTTGAAAACCCATCTGACGCTGATGGCTTTCTTGTCTTTTGGAAGTTCTGTCAGCTTCCAAGTCTTGTTTCTCTCTATAGCATCAAGTTCTTCTTTCATGGCCTTCAGCCAGAGCTTCTGCTTAAGAGCCTTTTCTGTACTTATGGGTTCAGAGTCTACCATCATGGCACACTGAATAACTTCTCCTTCAGAGTCTACTTCAGTGTCTTGCAGCATGTCAAATTCTGCAAATCTTCTGGGAACGCTTCTGATTCTTTGTGGTCTCTGAACTTGTTCAGAGTCTTGAGCTTCAGAGTTTCCAGCTTCAGATGGTTGACTTCCTCTAGAGTTTTGACCATCTTCAAGATCTGGCATATTTTCAGAGTCTTGGCCATCTTCAGAGTCTGAATTTCCACCAGAATCTGGATTACCATCAGAGTCTGGATCATCAGAGTCACCTTCATCTTCTGAGTCTTCTCCAGATTCAGAATCACTATCAGAGTCAGAATCAACGTCAGAGTTTACTTCAACTTCAGAAATTCTTAACTCTGACCTTTCTTCAGAAGTTCTAACATCAGAATCAAATTGAGACTTATCCCAATTCCAAACTTCTGATTCCTTCACAATCACATCTCTGCTGAATTCAATTTTGTTGGTTTCTGGACAATAGAGCTTGTATGCACCTGTACTGTGGTACCCTATCAGAATCATCACTTTGCTTCTATCATCCAGCTTCTGTCTTCTGGCTTCTGGAACATGTTTATAGCAAACAGAACCAAATACCTTCAGATGACTAACACTTTGCTTGTCTCCAGTCCACTTCTGCATAGGAACTATTTCCTTCAACTTCTTCGTAGGACATCTGTTGAGTACATACGTTGCAGTGGCAACAGCTTCTCCCCAGAGCTTCTGAGGAAGCTTCTTCTCCTTTAGCATGCTTCTCACCATATCAAGCAGAGTGCGGTTTCTTCTTTCAGCAAGACCATTGTGTTGAGGGGTATAGGGAGCAGTAACCTCATGCTCAATTCCATTCTCCTCACAGAACTTCTGGAACTCTTTGGAGTTATACTCACCTCCACCATCAGTTCTAAGAATCTTCAACTTATGACCACTCTGATTCTCAGCCTTCATTCTGAACTTCTTGAATTCATCAAACACCTCGTGTTTGAACTTAATAAGGGATACCCATGTCATTCTTGTGAATTCATCAACAAACAACACAAAGTATTTATTCCCTCCAATTGATGCTACTGGAAATGGACCACACACATCAGAGTGTACAACTCCCAAGGCATGTTTTGCTCTTGGAGCAACTTCTGATGCAAATGGCAATCTTGGTTGTTTTCCTTCCATGCAAACTTTGCATGACTTTTCAGGCTTCTTAATTGTAGGAATTCTATGTACCAATTTCTTTGAATTCAGATGTTGTAAGCTTCTGAAATTCAAATGACCAAATCTTCTTTGCCACAGCTCACTCTCCTTCTCAGTACTTGTTGCACTAAGACACTCTGAGTCTGCAGTTCTGACATTCACCTTGAATGTTCTATTCCTTCCCTGTTCTGACTCCATAATCAACTTCTGATTACAGTCATACAGCTTCAGAAGATTGTCCTTCATGGTAACTGAGAAACCTTTCTCAATTAATTGTCCCACACTCATCAGATTGCTTCTGATGCCAGGTACATACCACACATTCTGAATCAATGCTATTTTCCCATTGTTCAGAGTCACTCTGACATTTCCCATACCTTCTGCATTAAGATATTTGTCATCAGCACATCTGATCTTTGTTCTCTTTTCAGAGTCAAAGTCAACCAGCCATTTCTTGTTTCCAGTAAGATGATTTGAACAGCCAGTGTCCATATACCACCAGTTTGTCATATTCACATTATCAGATTCAGAGGCCATCAACAGCACAGATTCGTCATCAGAGCCTCTGGCTATATTTGCTTCTTCTGATTTCTTCTCCTTGTTTGACCAACAATCTCTAGCAAAATGGCCAAACTTCTTACAACAGTAACATTGTATTTTTCTTTTGTCATACTTCTCTTTTCCCCTCTGAGCATTCTTTTGTCTATCAGAGGTTGAGCTTTCTGACTTCTGACCACCATCAGATCTTCTCCTGGCTTCTGACTGCTTCTGATACCTCCTATCAGAAGTTGCTTTCAGAGCCTGCTGTTCTACTTCCTTTTCAGAGTTTCTCTCAGTCAGACGCAACTCTTGCGCTTCTAGACTGCTCTGCAGCTCTTCAATTCTCATTGTGCTCAGATCTTTGGAATGTTCTATTGCTACCACAATGTAATCAAATTGAGGAGTAAGGGATCTCAACACTTTCTCCATGATTGTTTCTTCAGAAAGAGTTTCTCCACATGCCTTCATCTCATTAGTGATCAGAATCACTCTGGAGATGTATTCAGAAACTTTCTCATTATTCTTCATGTTGAGATTCTCATATTGCTTTCTCAAGGACAGAAGCTTCACCTTCTTCACTGATGCGTCACCACCATAACATCTCACCAGAGTGTCCCATGCAGCCTTTGCTGTTGTAGAGTCTGCAATCTTCTCAAACACGTTTACATCCACACATTGATGAATGAAGAACAATGCTTTCTGATCCTTCTTCCTTACTTCCTTCTGCGCGTTTTTCTGTTCATCAGTCGCATCTGCTGCTACCGGAACATAACCATCAGTGACAAGATCCAGAACATCTTGAGCACCAAACAGTACACGCATT